TAAACAAAGCATGATGACAAAGTGTATCAGGAGGTTTCTAAAAACAAGGTGATCTGGATTAAGTCACTGTCCCTGTTCTCTGACATTGGGAAGAGCTTTCATCACATGCCACTCTCAGGGGAAAGGGGTGGGTAGAGGTTTCTTCTGATGGTTCCAAGAGAGATCCCTCTGAGACCCAGGGGCAGAGGTGAGCTGCATTCTGTCCTGTTCACGGTTCCCACATCTGGTGGACCCTTCATCCTGCAGAGCTGTCGGTGGTGGGGAATAGAGAGAAGGGCTTCTCCGTTCTGCCTGCCTGGTCCTGCAGGTGAGCTTCTGATCTAAATGTGCAGACAATGTAACATAATCGGGCACATAAAGATTAAGGAAGAGACTAGGAATGAGAATGGGCCCTGAGGCAGCTCCAGGTCTTCTCTGCTTGAATTAGGAGCATGCCTGGGCCCTCCTGTCTCCAGGGGAGAGGGTGGAGATGCTGGTTGGCAGCAGGAAGAGAAGAGAAGAGAACCAGCAGAGAGAAGCAGACCCCTGGAGAGCAGCTGGGCCAGGGATCCAGTGGCACACCAGAGGGAAGGTCTGTGAGTAGCTGGTGCTAAAGCCCCGGGTCCAAAAGAACCTTTGGCTTCCAGTCTCTACCAACCCTGGTTCCTGTTCTTGAATTTTCACAAGATTGTGCCTCCTTTTTAAAAATTTTTTTAATCTCTTAAGAGTCCATCCATTATCTCAATGCATGTGAAGGCACTCTCTTATCCTTTCCCCCAAAAGAGCCCTGCCTGAGACTCTCAGATAACTCAAATCAGAGAAAATCCAGCCCCACCCAAAATATCTGACATGCCTTCCTCACATTTGCACTTGAATCTCAAAGTCAACTGATCCAAAACAAATCTCTTGATGACACCCCCACTATCCTGCTCCTCCCCAACTTTCTCAACTCATTAAATGGTATCACCATTCACCAAGTTGTTCAAGCCCAAACCCTTCCTTTCCCTCACCTGACAGACTCTGTCTCCAAATCAGAGTACACCTCAGACCGTTCCGTCTCTCCTCCACCACCACTCTGTTCAAGAAACCAGATCAGCAGCTCCTGAATGGTTCACTTTTGTCCCCTGTGATTCATTCTCCAGATGGCAACCAGAGTGACTTCTGTGAAATGCCAACCACCTCACATCACTCTCCCCTCAACGCCTTACTATGGTCTTTAAGCTCTACATGATCTGCCCCTACCTACTTACCCTGTTAGCCACACTGGACTTCTGACATTTCTAGAACATTTTATGCCAGCTCCCACCCCCATGTCTTCACAATTACCCTCCGTCTTGACTTCTTCTTCTGGCTCCTCATCTGGCTGCCTCTTCCCTGTCATTCAGGTGTAAGTTCAATGTCACCTCGAAGAGGCCTTCTCTGACCACCCCCAAAAAAGATTTCCTCCTCGTCTCCTTCACACTACCCTGATTTATCTCCTTCATAGCACTTACCACTCTTTGAGATACTGTATGTCTTTCTCTCCATAGATGTAAGCTGCAGAGGGCAGGCGCCTGGTCTGTTTTGTTCTCTGCTCTATCCCCAGTACCTAGACCAGTACTTGGCACATAGTAGAAATCAATAATGTTTTTGATCAAAAGTATGGGAGAATATCATACTGAGAACTCCACAGAATTCTAGCTATATAACCTTGGGCTAGTTAATTAACCTCTCTGAGTCTCAGTTTTCTTAAATGGGAATAATATTACCCATAAATCCATCTTCTTCTAAAGAGTAAATGAGCTGATGAATGTGCCTACTTTAAATCTTGTGCAAATTATTTAATGTTTCTGTGCCTCAGTTTCCTTCTCCGTGAAATGGAAATAATAAAGATCTATTATAATAAAAGATACACCAAGGTCAAGGGCTTAGATCTCCTTACTGGCTAGCTACCAATAAATAAAAATAAATAAATGAATAAATAAATAAATAAGATTAAAGAATATGTTTGGTCTTTGTGGGTCCCTGGTACAAAGTTCCTAGAACGCTTGGAATTTTCTGAGGGAAGGGAGTGTCTTTCGATATTCATAATGAGCCCATTTGATCACATCTGAATTTATGCTAATGAGGTGACTCGGGGTGGCCCTCTAGATAGTTTCAGGGTGGGGGCTGGTTCCAGAAAGACCAAACATGTGATTAGTGAATGGAAACTTTCAGCGCTCCCCCCCCCCACTTCCAGGGAGGGGAGGGGATCTGGAGATTGGGTTATAAAAACTCCTGAACAACAGGACCTGGAGAACTGCCTGGTTGGTGAGCACCTGCAGGTACCAGGAGGCTCCACACACCTCCCCTCCCCCTGCTCTATGCATCTCTTCCATTTGGCTGTTCCTGACTTGTATCCTTTATCAACCAACAAATGGAAGTCAAGTGTTTTTCTGAGTTCCATGAGTCATTCTAGTGAATTAGCAAACCTGAGGAGGGGAGGTGGGAACCTCAAATTTAGGGCCATTCAGTCAGAGGCACAGATGTCTCCTGAGACTTGTGACTGGCATCTACATTGGCACTGTCTTATGGGACTGAGCCCTTAACCTGTGGCATCTGTGCTAACTCTGGGAACTGGTGTCAGAACCAAATTGTTGGACATCCAGCTGGTGTTGGATTACTGGCTGCTGGTGGTGTTGGAACACATCACACATTTGGTGTCAAATGAAAAACCTTCCACCTACCCCACAAGGCTATGGTGAGGACTAAACTGGTCAGAATATGTCCATTGGTGTTGGAGAACTGGCTGCTGGTGGTGTTGGAACACATCACACATTTGGTGTCAAAAGAAAAACCTTCCACCTACCCCACAAGGCTATGGTGAGGACTAAACTGGTCAGAATATGTCCAGCACTTAGAACAGGGCCTGGTGCACAGGAGCTCTCACTAAACGTTAGCTCTGCATTACTTATGCCATCTGCACAACCCCAGTAAGCTGAGAATTGATGAGGGCTCACTGTGTGCACAGCAGTGCACTGGGCTCCCCAACGAGGCCTGCAGAGGAGATGGGCCTTTAAACCGTTCTTGTCCTTGGGAGTGCACACCAGTGCCCACCGCAACACGCAAACACACACTTCACAGGTCAAGCCACAGGGACAGTCTCTTGGCAGGAGGTAAGAAGGCTTAGGGAAGGCTTCCTGGAAGAGGAGGGGTTGGGCTTGACCTCCAGGGGTAGCTAAATGTGGGGTGTGTTGGGGGGGTGCAGGGCAAGGGAGGGCCACTAGTTTGGGCATCTGAGGCACCCAGAGAGCACAATTTCAGGAGAGAGCTTGGGGCAAAACGAGCTGAGGCAGAGGGTGATTGGACAGAGAGAAGGCCAGGTACTGGCTCCATGCCCAGTCTTCAGGGTTTGAAGGTGTCTCCCTGACTCCCCAAGAGCTGTGGCCTGGCCCAGACACTACAGCCTCTTCTGAGCACAAGCCTGGCTTCCAAGCCCCCGCGTGGGTCCAGTTGGAAGGAGGGCCTGGGAGGGTTGTTGGGGAGCAGTATAGCTGCAGCTGGAGGCACACAAGTCTGGGAGAGATGGCCCATCCCTGCAGGACAGCAGCGCCATCCTCCCTGCCTCCCCTCCTCATCTTGCCCCTTCTCACCTCTCCCCCCTGCTCCACTCAGAGCTCTTGGTTTACCCCAGGAGGAGCCTTCTCATCCCTCAAGGGGACCAGGACGTCCAGGCACATCTGACCGCCTCCTCCCAAGGGGTGGACTGGACAGCATTCTTTTGGTGTGACTTGAGGAGCTGGAGGGATTCCGCTGAGGGAAGCAACGTGAGCCCAACTTAGCTGCAGGGGGGATGCCAGGGAAGCAGGGCCCTACACGGGGAAGCCCTCCTGGAGCCTCCCGCAGCTCCCAGGAAGGGAAACCAGAGCAGCTCCAGCCTGTCTGCTTCCTCACTCCTCTTCTTCCTCTCCTGTTCCCTTGACACATCCTGTTCTGGCCATTGTTTGCAATACATTTATTGATGCTCTCCCTCTTACGTGAGATTAAACTAATAGAGCCGTAGCTGAAGGAAGGGTCTCCGAGTTACACTTTGACAAGCTCAGGGAAGGTTGCCCAGTTTACAAGCAGCATAAAGATGCCAGGCTACTTGTCCAAATCCCAGCCCTGGAACTTATTAGTTATATAACCTTGGACATAACCTCCCCTCATCTGTAACATGGGATAATGCTGGTAGCTACATTGTACGGTTTTTGGGAGGAGTTAGTTAATTAACATATACAAAGCACTTGGTGTCTGGCACATGTAAGTACTAAGTATTATTATTATTATTTTGTAGCTCTGGTACTAGCTCTAAGTGTCTCTGTTCACACAGGGTAGGTGCTCAGTTTACAAAGGTTTTCCTTTGGGTTAAGCATACTATTGTTAAAATGTCAGCCCTTGCTTTGGGAAGGGGGTGTTCAGATCCCTCCTCTCTGACAAGAGGGACAGAGGCACACTGAGATGGAGGGAAGGTGATGGGGGTGGGAAAGAGCCCAGAATGGGGAAGTGAGAGGTTCCTAGCCCAAATCTTTTTTTTTTTGGCTGGTCAGGGGGTCTGAACCCTTGACCTTGGTGTTACGAGGCTGTGCTCTAACCAACTCAGCTAACCAGCCAGCCCACTAGTCCAATTCTGTTATGTCTTCTCTCTCCCCAAATCTTCATTGCCAACAAGCCAGCCCCTCACCAGCCCTTCTTGCAGCTCCTCTTACATGCCAACATCCTCCTAAGCCTACCCCCTACCCCGGCATCTTGAGTGCCCCCCTGCCCCAGTTTCTCTGGCCTTTTCCCATATTCCACCTAAAGCACCTGATGCATCCGGAAGGCCCCCGTTAGCATTTACTGACTCTCTCTGGTCAGTACTGTATTTATTTACTCTGGTTTACCTGTAGCTTTCAGTCTTTCCCTCATGCATGTCTGAATTCCTTCAAAGTTGGATCTCCCTGTAGCAGCCCATGGACCTCATAACCCAACGAATTCCCAGGCTGCCAGGATGGGGGTGGAGTGGTCTGGCCCTGACCTCTCACCTGGGTCTCGGAGAGGTTCAGCTGGCGGGCCAGCTCAGTGCGCTCACGGCCCACCACGTACTGACAGCGCTGGAACTCCATCTCCAGGCGGTAGAGCTGCTCGGCTGTGAAGGATGTGCGGGTCCGCTTGGGCCGGTCCAGGTCCAGGCCCTTGGGCAGGACAATTTCCCGGATGGTTCCCTTGGCATCTGCAGGGGCCACAAAGGGAGACAAATTAGTTTACTAGCTGAGTAGTTAGGTCACCAACAAGCATCTTAATTAGAGGCAGTGTGATCTAACAGGGAGCTCCTCTGGCCTGGGTCTGGCTGTGTGACCTCCGACAAGTTACTCGCCCTCTCTGGGCCCAGCTTTCTGCACCACCTAATGTGGGATGTTGTATTTAATAGGTATGTGAATGGGCCTCAGTACAAATGTCAGGTCTACCATCATGGCCTAGGCAGAAAGGACTCACTGTAACCCAGGCCAGAATTCTGTTTCCTCAACAGAGAAAGGAACAAATAGAAAGAAATGTGCCACGTCCTCAAGTACAGAGGAAAAGATGGATCAGAATTGGGTGTGATCAATTAAGTCTTACGGAGATCTCCAAAAGCCAGGTGCTAAGTCGTGTAAGCATGCACATGTGTGTGCACGCACACTTGGGTGAGCACTCTGCCCCACAGACCCTACTGGGGTCCATGAGCGGCCACTGGTATGGGTTAGAGGACATACTGGGGATCCAGGGTCCCCAAGAAGAGCTCAAGGACAATTGCCACCACATCAGGCTGTTGGGGTGCCTTCCACAGAGGGGACTTCTGTTACTTCCCATGTCCTGAACAGCAGGGCCACCCCTGGGCTCTGGACCAATGCTCTCCACGCACAGGGTCTCCAATATTTTGGAGCCCACTTAAGAGAGGTTGAAAACCCTGCAGCCCATGTTCACATATTCCCACTTAGTAACAACACAAAGTGTTCATCAAGAGTAAACTATGTGGGGGTGGGGGTGGCTGTATATATACATCAGCTTTAACTATAGGGGCAGGATAATTCATATGTGAACCATACACACTGATGGCTTGAAATTTAGTTATTGGAACTTTTTTTTTTTTTTCCTTTTTGTCTTTTTTCGTGACCGGCAACGGATCACAACCCTCAGTGTCGCGCCCGTACCGGACCGGGACCGGCAACGGGATCGCAACCCTCGGTGTTGCACCCGCACCTCGCTCAGGCAGTGAGTGGCCAGTCTGTATGTGGGATCCGAACCCTCGGCGGGAGCACCACTGCGCTTCCCAAGCAGCGCACTGTAGCAGTGCACCACCGGGCCAGCCCATAGTTACTGGAACTTTTACATTAAAAATTAGATTGTAAAGATATGCAGCATCATATCCTGTAGGATTTACCAAACCACTCTCAACAAATGATGCCGATAATAAGGAAGGTGAACAAACAGGAATTTTCCGTAACACAGGAAGGACAGTGTCAATGGAAAGCTTACCCACCCCCCTTGGCCCTGGTGAGGCACAGGTAACAGCAGCCCTCCGCAGTTGCAGGAATTCCAACTGCCTCCAGGGGGCGTGCACAGTTGGCGTTTGCAATGTGGCCAGAAGCGGCCGTGCTGGTGTCTGCTCACATTTTAGTCATAATAATAACGGAGCTTCTGCAATACTTGCTCTGGGCCAGGCGCTATCTTGAGCACTTTAACCCTCCCAGTGTCTCAATGAAGTTGGAACTATTATTATCCCCATTTTACAGATGAGGAAATGGAGGAACTAATTTTAAATAACTTAGTCAAGGTTACACTGATGGTGTTTGATTAACTCTAGAAACATGCTCATTTTACTTTATGAGTACCCTCTTTTGGTAATTCTCAATAATTCAGCTGATAGGCTATAATGAAAAGGACTTTGGTTATGGGTTAAGAAAAAATGGAATCTTCTGGATGGGTTCATCATTCCCCTGGAGAACATATGAAAGGAGCTGTATTTGGGATGTGCTGTCTGCTGGCAGGCTCCTTGTGATCCACAGACCCTGTGGGTCCTAGGTTTAGAAGCCCTGCTGTACAGACAGGGCTAACTTGAACCTCCTCCTTCCAAACCCCCGACCCCATGAGGCTGACTTTCCTGGCTCCTGCCAGTGCCAGTTAGTGTTCCCCGCTCCAGGGTATGCTCTGGCTCCTCATGGGCTCCCGGCTCATGAGTACTGCACCTTCATGTTCACATTCAACCTCAGGGAGAAGGGGAGTCAGAGTGGGGGATGCAGTCACTGCTCAGAGGTGGTCCTCTTTCCCTCACCCCAATCCAGGTCAGATCCTGCTGGGGCGCTGGGCAGAGCACATCAAGTGGATGTGGCCCCTGTTCCTGAAGTGTTATAGGAGCCACAGGCCTCCTGGGACAACTCAGCCTCCTCAGCTCCAATTCCTTCTGCATTCCAAAAACATAGGGTGACCCCTATGTTACCCCACTGTGACTGGGTTGATCTTCTCTGCTCAGGTTCCACCATTTTAAGTTGTAATACCTGACTCAGAACTTCCTCACAACATTCCAAGTAAATCCATTTCCAAAGGCCCTGATTTTATGAAAAGTGTCTTGGGGGGCATGGATAGGAGAAAGGAGCTGTCACACCCGGTGCTGGAAGCTTCAAAGCTTCCACTGAGTCAGCCTCCCAGAGCCCACCCTGAAGCTCCTGAGTCCGAGGCCCTAACCATGAGGTCAAACTGTTCATGGGCCACCTTTTCCTCTTTGTATAGGAGCTAACAGGAGCACTGCCACCAAGGGAGCAACCAAAGTCAGCTGTCCCCCCGGGGTCAGGGGAGGCAGGAGCCATACAAGAAAGGCAACCTTGGACTTGCCACCAGATATCAAAACATGCCATACAAATAAGCACGTGAAGAGATGTTCGTCATCACTAGCCATTAGTGAAGGGCAAATTAAAGGCACAATGAAAGATGCCTATTAGAATAGCTAAAGTAAAAAATACTGAAAGTGCCAAAAGCTGGTGAGGATGCAGAGAATCTGGGTCTCCCATGCATTGCTGGTGGGAATGGAAAATGGCACAGGTGCTCCAGGAACTAGCCAGTCAGTTAAATATATATTTACCATACAATCCAGTGACTGAACTCCTGAGCATTCATTCTAGAGGAATGAAATCTTATGTTCACACAAAAACCTATACACAAATGTTCATAGCAGCTTTATTTATCATAGCCCCCAAATGGAAACAAACCAGATGTCCTTCAACAGGTGAATGGCTAAACAGACTGTGGTACAACCACACTATGGGGTACCACTCAGCAGGAAAAAGAAATAACTATTGATACAACAATTTACTTGGGGAATCATACTGAGTGAAAAAAGCCAGTCTCTTAAGAGTTGTGTGCTGTATGATTTCGTTTACATAACCTCAAAATGACAAAATTATGGAGGTGGGAGACCGATCAGTGGCTGCCAGTGTTTGGGGATGGAGGAAATTTCCTTGTGGTGACAACAGTTCTGTATCTTGACTGTGGTGGTGGTTATACGGATCTACAAATGTGACAGAATGTCATAGAACTTTATACAAAGGCAAAAAAAATGAGTGCAAGGAAAAACGAGTGAAATCCGAGGAAGGTCTAGAGTCTAGTTAATTATATTGTGCCAGTGTCAATTTCCTGGTTTTGATAATGTGCTACAGATGTGTAAGATATCCCCAAAGGAGAAACTGGGTGATGGATACATGGGACTTCTGTACACTATTTAAAAAAATAAATTTTAGGCTAGTCATGTACTATTTTTATAACTTCTTGTGAGTCTATATTATTTCAAAATTTTGTCAATTTTGATGTTATATAAATGAAATCGTATAGCACATAACTTTTAGAAACTGGCATTTTTCCACACAGTATAATTCCCCAAGTAAATTATTATTTGCATCAATAGTTATTTCTTGTTATTGCTGAGTAGTATCCTGTAGTTTGGTTATATCACAGTTTGCTTAACCATTTCAAAAAAAAAAAAAAAGGTTAGCAACAAAAACCAGAATATGCCATAAAGCTAGAGTGACGTGTTGTCACAGAAATGGACAAATCCACCAGTGGAAAGATTCAGTAGCATTCCCCAAAGGGCCTCTGTATTCCACTCGTGGTTTGTAAGATACATTAAAATGGTACATAAACAAACATTTGTCATTTCAAAAGTTACGCACTTGTTTTAATGCTTAGTAGAAAAATTTTAAACCTATGATTTTTACATGCATAGGATGAGGCTAAAGTGGGTATTTAATCTTAAAATACTTTGTACTAAAATTGTAAGTAAATAAATAGGATATGAATGTAACAGAAATGAAGACAATGAGATGAAGAGTACACTGTTAGACACACGTATACACGGTGATAGGGTTTATGATAAAGGAGCATGCTAGATGGGGAATGTTGGTTTAGTCAGTCATTAGTGGATTTAAGTAGATCAGTGACCATAAATGATATGTTTGGAAAAAAATTAAGTTAAATTCCTGCCTCACACCGTAATTAACAATAAGTTTCAAATAGATTACAGGGCAAGTCATAGACTATTAAATGATAAAGGTGTTATAAGAAATATAGGAGGATATTTTACAATCGTAGGCTTGGGAGACACTCTGCAGGCAACATACAGAACTGGAAGCTGTAAAGGAAACATGAAGGAGGTATTTGACTATATTAAAGCTAAAAACTCTTGTGACAAAAGTGCCCAAACCAAGGTAAAATGCAAAAAAAAAAAAAAAAAAAAGAGTTGAAGAAAATACTTTTAAAAGAGGTAAAGAAAAAATATCCAGAACATAAAAATGTTAATTATAAATAAAAAAATTTTTTAAAAGGAAAATAGCCTAATAAAAAAACGGTCAAGTAATTTTCTGGGTCACTCACCAAAAAAGACACCCAAATGGCCAATAAACATATGAAAAGATGAGCATAGCTTCGTGGTAATCTGGATAATGCAAGTTTAAGCAACAATGGGAAGCTTTATCTCCCATAAGATTGTAAAGACATTATTAGGTGGTTAATAAAGCAACTGTGTGTAGGGAAATCCACACTCCCATATATTGTTGGTGAAACACAGGCTCATGTGTTCCAAGGGATATATAACAATGACGTTTGTTGTAGCATTGCTCAAAATATTGAAAATTTGAAAACATCCTCAATGTTGGCCACAAGGGACATGACTGAACAAATTAGGGTACGTTCATATGATAAAACAGC